TTTTTTATTTTAAATATGTTTATATTAGGCTACAAATGACTTTCCTTTATATACTGAAGCAATAAAGTTTTTTAATCATCCAGATTCTATGGTACGGACTTATGTTCGTACTTTGACATTAAATGTTTATAAAGTTGAAGATGAAAGTATGTTGCGTTTTATTAGAGATAAAACATGTGCACCATATTTTGGAAATTTAGTGTGGTTTATGGGAAAACACGTATTAGAATTAGATGCTAGTGCAAGAGCTAAACCTGTTGATGTAGACACTCAAAAAACTATTCAGTATCTATTCAATTTCTTTAATTTTTAGTTTTTTCACAATTACAAACTTGTGTTAAATTTATAACTATATTTCTAGAGACCAATATAGAGTAAAACTTGCTGATCTTGTTAGCTCACATTTGGATGATTTGCATTATTTAAATGATATTTTGAGCCTTAAAGTGGACATACTCAATGAAGTTCTTGTGGAACATTTGATGGATAAGCTTTTCATACCTTATTATATCCATTCATTAGCTCCGCCTGACAAATACATTATTGTGGAAACTGAAGAAGTAATGTAGTAAATAGCTGAAAATGGATTAAATAAATTCTCATATTAATATAGTATAAAGTCTTTAATACAGTAATAAGAAATTTAAAATTTTTAAGTAAAATAAAAATGTCTTATAAAAGAAAAATGCAGATTAAGTAATATAATAATGATGGGAATAAGAATGTATAAAGGAATGCGAGAGAAATAAAGGAGTATTGACGTTTTTATGGAGGATCATCATGTTTACAGTCAGAACGATTAAACACATAAAATTTTGTAATTGTATAGGATTGATTTTATATTGTGTCACATTTCGTACTTTATTTAATTTTTGTATTTCTTACATTTTATAAATAAAATATAAATGTTTGAAACTTACAGTTGGGTTAAATACTTTATATCAGTGTTTCTAAAATTATGTATGTGGCTAGAGTCATGATTGCACTGCTGGTCCTTTAGTTGGTCTTAACAGTTAGTGTGCATGCTGGTTAATTTTTGAATTTAACTGTCTTTTAGTGAGTTTAGTAAAAAAGTGTTTGTGCTTAACGAAAAATCACCCTTTCGTCTGCTACTTTTGAGCTAGACCGTGCTGATAGGTCTAAGAACTACCCCTTTAGTTATTCACTAACTGGAAGGATTGGTACTGACCAGTATACCTAACAAGAATACTCGAAAAGAGCTAAAACAATAAATTTGATGTTTAAAGTGTTAACTAAATTCTTATACTTATTTATGTATCATAGTCCTACTAGAATACAACANAACTATATTCTTATACTTATTTATGTATCATAGTCCTACTAGCATACAACAGTAAATACATATATATATATATATATATATAATGTATATAATTATTTAGAAAAATAACCTTTTCTAATGACTTATATTAAATTCCTTAGATAATGATCTTATATTAAAATAATATTCTCATATTATCTTTTATAGTTTGTTGATGCAGTTAAACAGCAACCTTTAATGAACGGTGATATTTGTTTGTTTCTTTTGACTCAAGTATTTCTAATAATTCATCAAGAGAAATTAGTAGGGCCATTAGCAAAGTTTTTGTTGGACAGCAGTTCCCATTTAATGTGTCAAGTATGTACTTAATAGCAAATGTTACATCAAATATATGATTTACTCTCTAAATTATCCTATTTCCAAGGTTGTTCATGAACCAAAAATAAAGGATCAAATATCAATTAAATTACCTGAAAATGATCAAGGATCAGAACAGAAATTAGAAAATAATTCTTTGGAATCTGATGTTTTAGAGTTTAAGTCATTTGCTTACATGAATATAACAGATGAAGAAAAAGAAATACTTATGTCTAAAAATGAAGGTAACATTTTCATTAGAAATTAAAAATTACTTTAATTTGTAAATTAAATCAACAATAAACTTTTGTCCTGAAATTTTATTTCTTTAAATCTCATTTGTATTAAATTTAAATATAGTAAACTCTTGGTAATACAGCTGTGCATATATCTAATAACCCGAGTAATCCAGTTTATTTTATTTTTTTAATAACCAACTAAGTACTAAATCATAAATATGAGATCTTTAAAAGCAAGACATAAAGTATCAAGACTCAGATCATGTTTTGTTGACTTTTTTTAAAATTTACAAACTTCATTTTTTAGTCTGATACTAAGAACTAAAAATTATGAAGTCTTGATGAACCGATAAAATATTCCATATATATATCTTTAAACATAATCTTTATACATAAATAGTTTTTAAATTTAAAATGTATTAAGCATTTATATTGATAATTAATATAAAAAATGAAAATATTAAAAGCACACGGGTTTCATATGAACCTCTTTTAATCTGGTGTTTCATTATTCATCAGTATTTATATAAGTGAAATTATGATCTGAATCTGTCATATTACTTATATTATGTTTAAAGTTAACAAGACTAAAAATGTTTAATGTTTATTAGGTTTAAGCCCCTCACGTAGTAAATGTATAGAATCCATTTACAATCAACTTGAAGTTGAAAAATCGGATAGCTCTGCATTATTTGGCATTTGTCTTTTATACGCATTATCACAAAATTGTGGTGTTGCAAAACAGTTTTTTGAAGGCTTTTTGACACCTGTTGATATTGATGAAACCTCTAGTTTATTTGTTCATGGTGATGAAAGAGAAAAGCTTATTGATAAATTAGTTAATATAATTGCAGTATCATCTGATTCCAGTAAGCTTATAGTAGACAAAGTTAACTTACATAATTTAAACTGCATTTATATTTAATAGATTACATTTTTTATAGAATGCAGTGTTCGATCAGTAACTTTAGAAATGGCTATTGAATTACTAAAAAAATTAACAATTAATGAAAACAAATTTTGTATATCAGATAAACATGTTGCAATCATTTATAATGCAAAAGAAAAAATTTTACCTATTCTTCGTCAGTTTTTTAAAGTAAACAGATTATTTATTTTAAAAAATAAATAAAGAATGATACCTTTTTACTCTTTGATATAAATTTTACATACTTTAAAAATAATAATTAAATTTCAAACTATAGAAAGAAGAAATGTTTTTGGAATTATTTGAAGATGAGTATAATGAAATGTTTAGAGAAAAATTAGATGTTCAACGATTAATGAGCGATTCAACATTATTACTACCTCCAGCTCTCTCACCTATGACAGGAATTCCTCTTTCTAAACGGTTACCATGTGGTGATGTATGCTTCTTTGTCATCATTCTTTTTATCTGAATTTGTTGTAGTATATTAAGAGCCATAATAGAAATTATAGTTGGTCAAATTCATTTTGAAATTTTCGAATTTGTTTACTATTATCTGCAATAGTATTAGTTTCTAGTTATGCTAAAATCTTGAAAATTTCATTTTTTAAATCTTTATATCCTTCTTTATTAGCCATAAAAAAATTATAATACTAGGTTAAAGTGAAAAGAAGTCATAAGAAATATTTTAGCTTTGATTTTTGTAGAATGATTCAAAATTAACTTAATCTAAAGATCTCAAGCTTTTCAAATACTTTTAAAATGTAACTTATTAAAGTTTCAAATAGAATTCTATTTTTTATAATCAATTAATTTATAATTACCTGATTTTTACTAATTAGTGATTAAAAACTAAAAACCATCTGACTATTATATGGCAAAGTTCAGGAATCGGCAACAAAATTCTATTAAATTATATACTAATTTAATAGGGACAAACTTTTCATCCGCCCATTATTTCACCTCATTAATGATTTATACCTTATAATGAAATTATATAATTTATCAAAAATTATTGTTGAAAAAAATATTTTTCTTATCAAATAAAATTTTATTTACATGACTAAAATTTGGATATTTACTGTTTTATAAATAGCATTTAAATGGCCCGATATGGCTTAGCCTAGTATGGGAATAGATCAACTGGTCCTATTGTATTGAAAATTTAATACAATACTGAATATTATAATATATAATATAGACTGAAAATCATATATTATTAAATAAGAGTTTTATTGAGTAATGCATTACTCATACAATTTTAACTTCATTAAAAACACGTTACTTGTTATAAAATTTCTATGACATTACTTAAAAAGTAACATATTTTACATTATTACCCAACACTGGTAATTAAATAGTATTTATTTTATTTATTTGTCATCTGTGTTTATTATAGGTTGAAAAAACTAGACATTTTATTTGTGCATTTCTTCTTATAAGAAAGCTTCTTATGATATATGAAGAACAAGAAGAAACTCAACTGCCACTAGTGGATAGAAAAAAATGTTTTGCTTTTGATACTCCAATTAATTTAAGTAATAATTTCAACTCAAGTGAAAATTTAAATTAATATAATTCCATTTCAGATGGTAATGATTTAATTACATGTATGATAGTCTCAGAAAATGGTGCCAAAACTAGGAGATACCTTTCAATAATAAACAATCAATTAGTCCTTGTTGAACCACATAGCCGTTTCTTAGGTTGGGGTGTTTGTAAACTTTCATGTTATCTTCAAGATACTGAAGTAAAATTTACCCTATATTTTAATTGTTATAATAAAATAATAAATATTATATGTAGGTTACTAAAATTGATAACGAAACTAAAACCCTTCACATTACTATGCATGGATCTAAATATAAAATAACTCAAACAACAAAATTAATGTTTGATGATCATATTCGTTGCAATGCTGCCAGACAAAAGTAAAATTGTTTTATTTATATATATATATATATCATTATTATTACCAACTATTTTATTTAATAGATTATTAAATGGCCGTGTAAAAGCTAGACGAAAACAACTTGCTCAAATAGCAAACTTACTGGAAATGAGTAATTGTGAAACAAGTTATGCAACTGGAAATCCTACCCAAAAACAAAGTAAATATTGATTTTTAGTTTACGATTCAGAAACTTTAAATATATTAAGTCTATCATACAATATAACCCAAACCCAACCAAACTGCTACCTATTGTATGATAAATGTACTATGTCAGAAACCTTTGAGGGAGTGTACTTAACAACTTCCTAAAGTTGTTGTGGTGATCAGATAAATTATGTAGTTATGCATAAAGAACAGATACACATTCATTTATACATTTATATATGTATGTATAAAGATAATATATAAATGTTAATCTAATATTACATTAATATAAATTTACTAGAACATGGGCACCAATTAAGAATTCATTATACTGATGTAGCAGTGCATACATCTGGTGTTATTCCATCATACTCTATGTCAATTGAATCAACTGGTAAAGACTCTTATCAATACTTTATTTTAATATTAATACATTAAAAATTGAATGCATATAGGCGATGAGTATAGTGCTGATTCAAATTGCAGCAGCATTGCACACTCAAGAGATTCATCACCAATTTCAAAATTATCCGATGATAAAGATAATTCTAGAAAGGTACATATATTAATGAAGAAAAAAATATTAAATTTAATAATACAATATTCAATTTTTAGTCTTCACTGGTTGTTTCATTACAGGAAAAAAATGAACCTAAACGTAAAGGTAGAATAGAAACTGTATAATATTTAAATAATTAGCTACAGTAATAAGAATATACAAATATTTCCTGGATTTATAGTATAAATTTCAATTTTTATATCATATTATGTGTTTATATTTAATAGATAACTAACAACATGTTAAATTATCTGTTATTTCAAGTTAACAAATGAAAGCCAAAAATGAAGATTAATATTTTTTATATAATAATCCAGGAAGTTTTACTGTCTAGATTCCTAAGCATGTCTTGTGATATTTAGTTTTAACTTTGTTAACTAATGATAAAATCTGTATTACCTTTTTGTTAACTTAAATTATACAGTTTTTTTTTAAGTAATTATTTATTTATATTGTTTGTTTTATTGTATATAAATATAATAATTTCTAATAGCCAAATAAAGTTTTATTTTTTATACAAACTTCTATATTTCCAATTAACATTTTAAATTTACAAAAGTTATACTTTAGTTAAATACTTTATTAGGAAACTAAACTTTAGATCTCACTATAATATAATTAATATATTTATTAATGTACTTACATAAAAATCTTATATATAAATAAAATAACAAAAATAATTGAACTGTCTTAGATTCACAATTTTTAAAAACTCCTATGGGAACGTTATACATTTCATTTTAGTTTTTTCTACTTTACTTACAAATGGATTGTCATAAATATAAAACCTTAAAAATTTTTCTTGCCATTCTTTTTTACAATGAATACCTATTCTTGAAGTACATACTATAGTTTTGGCTAATTCACTTTGTGAATCACTTTCAATCCACATTCCATTCCATGATGATAGATTATGTTTGTTACATGTTTTTATATCAATTGACAAGCTAATACATAACTTAGCTGGACCATTACATAAGTCACGAGTTTTTAAGAATGTTTTTGGACTTTTAATGTATGTTTTCCGAAAATTTAACATTTTTTCTATGTTTTCTGTGGGTTCTAAAGCTCTTAACAGTACTGCTGCACCTTCTCCTGTTGAAAATAATAAGAATCAAAAATGAAAGTAAAAGGAAACTAATTATTACCTTGACTAGAAATATTAAAACAATGATACATTCCATATGTGAAGTAAACATAAATAGTTCCAGGTTTCATAAACATAGGTTCATTTCTTGGAGTAATTTTACCACCATAAGATTGTGATGCTGCATCATCTCCTCCCAAATAACTTTCAGTTTCTACAATTCTACCTTTGACAATAGAACCATCTTCTAATTGTCTTACAAGAACTTTTCCCAACAAATTTTTTGCAAGATCTTCACATGGAACATTAAAGAATTCTAAGCCAAGTCTTTTGCTGGTTCCCTCAGCAAAATATTTAGAAGTGTGATCAGAAGTCATTTAAATTAACTTACTAAAATATTGATAAAAAAAAAGTCGTAAAAGAAATGTTTTAAAAACAACAAATCAAAAGAAAATACTTCTTTTCAATTAAATTGATGTTGCATAAAGAACACTTAGTTTATATTATACGATACATATTATTATATAACAACCTGTGATTATGTACAATAGTTATATAGAATAACTTTAGTATAGCAATAACATAGACAAATTTTACACTCTGAAATTATGCTCGTTAATATAAATATCATTTATTATTATTATATTTTTATTAAAAAATTTAATATTAAATTAAGGCAGCAAATTTTTGTAATTTAACATGTAAAAAAAACTTTAATTATAAAAATATAACAATTACTCTAGTAGTCATATATGGTAAATGCTAAGAGAAAAGTAAACAAACTTTAGTTACAAAAGGAGTTTACTTCTTACCATTTCAAATTATCAAAATAATTTTTTTTTAATCGGTTGTGCGTCCAATATCGTGATATCAATTATAGTCATGAAGTTGTATGCAAGATAAAGATTGGAGACAAGACATAATATCTATCGACGTGAAATTCTAATTGAGTAACTATTTTATTTACTTATGTCAATACCATTAATTCATCAATTAAACATTTTAGTTAACCAGTTATTAATGAATACGATCAGGTACTTTTAAGGGATAATAGGATCATTAGTTCCCTAAGTTATTATTAATCAATTTTTAAATCGAACATTTAAAATATATTATTCTGCAATTATTTTATCTTAATAAAAATACCATAGATTAAATTTAATTAAAATTACTAGTTTCTATTTTTAATCAAGTCAAATTTCAAATTTTTACACAAACTTTATGCTTGTATAAAATATATTAACTGTAAAATAAGTAAAATTATTTTTATTTTTTTTTTTTTAGTTATGATTTTTACAGATTGTACTTCAAAATTATTATCGACTTTAAATTTTTCTAGGACAGATGTTCCACTCTTTAAGTTTGAACCTGTTCTTCATGAATGACATGATATATAATCTTTTAATTTACCGCACCAACGGTCAAAAAACAAAATAAATTTCCATAGATCCAATAGGTCAAAAGTAAAATTCATAAAGATTTGATAATTGAGCGTCTCAAAAAGCGTTGCTGCTTTTCTTTTGAAGACTTAAAAATAAAATTATGTTTTACATTGCTAAAGTTTCAATTATAAACATTACATTTATAGTATTAATAGCCTTTTTTTTGAGTATTCATTTATTTATCTATAATTTTATTGTTCTTATTGACAAGCTTTGTTTATTACTCTATAAAATTATCAGTTTGCATAAGACACCATTGAAATTTAAAATTAGTTGCTGCCTCCTAAAAAATTTAGAAGTGAAAAATATATGTCAACAATAAAACGTTTTTCTCCTAATTATAATTTTAAATATTTAACCGCTAGATTGCAGCATATGTATATACTCAAGTTCTTTTAAGAGGCATTTAAACATTTTCCCAGGTTACAAAATATAGACATTTTCCGTCCTGTTAACAATTTAACCTAAGGCATTTTAAAAACCTGTTACTTGCTGACTCTTAACTTAAAATTTTTCTTTAAAAATAAAATATTGACATTTTAGTAAAAATGCATAACATAAGTTGTATATTTAACAATTAGGGTATGTTTAGTAAATAGATACAAAATATAATTATACTTTTGAACTAACCTTTGTACAAGAGTTGTAATGATTTTAGTAGATTTAATTAATTTTCTTTAGAGTATTATAATATTCTAAAATACAATGCCGTCGGATTTGGAGAAAAAACTTAAGGGTCTTTGGGTTCCCACAAAAAAAAGTGAAAATAAATAAAAAATTGTTTACTTATTTTTGATCCGAACTACATACTTCTGAACTTTGCCTGCCAATTCATTTTTCTTATGAATAATTTTTCTTTGTGAAATTGTTGAATGTAGATGATTCAAATGATTTCATATATTTTTACTTTTGTGAAGTAATATTTGAAAATAATGACTACTTTGGTATTTTTGAAATTATTTTTACAAATTTATTTGATAAAATATGAATTTAATAAACTAAACGTGTGCTAATGTACAATGTATATCTATTTTATACGAGTTTTAGTACTCAAGGATAGGGTCTTATTCATATTATGATCAGTATAATATAATAAGTTATTAGGAACTAGTAAATTGCCTATAAAACCAAAATTTTGCGCTGACAATTAGTGAGCGCTTCTAGCTACAATAACACCCCCGCCCCCCATAAAATTTTAAAAGATTGTTTCATATTTTTTAATGTGCTGATCAGTTATTAAATTTTTTGTTGAATTAATTTTAATACTATCATGTGAATAATGTTTTAAACACATCTTAAGTTTTGAACTCCAAAGTAACGTCCATCATATAATAACAATATAAAACCATATAATATTTTCATTGCATTAAAAGTTGTTTTGAGAGGAACAATAAAAACAATTTTGATATCCTAATAATTTTTGATTCGGCTAATATAAAATAACCATTTTTTTACAAAAAATTTTGATGCGTAAATAACAATTTTATTTATTATAGTAATTATTGAGTTAAAAACGCTTTAATGCGTAGAGTGGGTATGCATTCGAATGAATATGCATTATAAATATAAACTAGTACCCACTCGCGTTAAATGGTTATTTTAAAATTTTAAAAATAAAAATAAATTGTTTATTATTATATTTTTTTTTTTCAGAGACGAATAATAAAAATATATGCTTTTAACGTAGTTCAATTGTGTAAAATTTATTAAAATCTATAAGAATCATTAGAAGAAAAAATCTAGTTCCCTGGATTTAGTGATAATGAACTATCTATTATTGTCGACTGCTTATGCGTTATGAGATATCAATACATTTTGTAAATATTAGAATATTTTGTACGATTTAATACTGTAATGAAAATTGAGGAATTTTATAAAAATAGGCAAGTCAACCAACCCAACTCGTAACATGCATTCATCTTTAAAATTAAAAATTAGCTTTCTTATATTTTGATATTATTTCAACTGTCGATGTTTTTAATATTTAAGTGTCTTCAAAATTTAATTTATTTTAAATTAAATTTCAAGGTAAACTTGGATCAAGTTTAAACATTTTACAAACAGATATTGTTTAAAAATGAGCACGAAAATAAGATATTGTGAGTGGCGTAGCCAAATAAAGGCTATTCTCCACTATCGGTCGTATTGTATTAGTTAATTATATCTTAAAGTCAAAATTATATCAATATTTAGACGAATCTTTGTTAAATTTGTTATACGCTATGAATGAAATGTTTTTAGGTTTCGGGACACTTATTTTATATTAAAAACAATTAATTTGAGTTATTTAAAAAAAAAACAAGTTAACAAAATATTGCACCAGTATTCATGAGTTTAAACTTTATAACTAGATTATGAACTGTTTTAATCTGATCTCAATACCAATAGAGAAATAATGTACTCCTAGTTTTGTAGAACATGATGCACTAATAATAATCGATTCAACTATTAAATGTCTCTAGAGACTAAACAGTCGGTCTTGCCGATTTTCATGAGTCAATGCGCTATTGTATGTTAATGGTTACAACGTATTATCTGTGACCGTGTGCGGTTCCCAACTANACAGTCGGTCTTGCCGATTTTCATGAGTCAATGCGCTATTGTATGTTAATGGTTACAACGTATTATCTGTGACCGTGTGCGGTGGTTCCCAACTAACTTAAATGTTGGTACAATACTTTCCTCGGGTATATTAAGCACATTTTGGAATTTAAATGAAGGTATTATCTCCAATGGTCGTTGGCGTTATTCTGTTATCGGTGCTGACAAATAAAAATTCCTGGTATCAGTGTCGTCGGTAGTTGTCAACAGACTATTGTGGCCAACATTTACACGTATGTGTATATATATATATATACGGAATATAATAATAATGGTAATCATACCGCGGGATGCGAGAGAGGCTCTGTGTACGGGGCGGGATATTGTTGCGGAGTGGTGGTAAGTATATTTGCTATTGATTTTCAAAGAAACGCGACGGGGTGGGTGGATACGGTAGCGCCGGCGCCCCGGCCTAGTGTGTTTCGACCGAACATTGTTTGGTGTAATGACGAGCGCGACGGACCGAAAGCTGTTCGTTGAACAACCCTGTGCGGGCGGTGACGGCGAAGCCCTGTACAGCGTACACTAAAACAATCGTGCTTTTTTAACTGTATAAACCACCGGTGTCACGTCGACAGTAACATTTTTATACATTTCTCGATTGCAGTGTATCTGATAATTTCCATTTTACGGTATCGCCGACGGCGGGTGTATGTGTGTGTGTCGCCCGTGATATGCCTGTCAGCGCGACAATGGCTACGGGCGGATTTCAGACTGTGATCGTTGTGGGCAAAAACGGCTGCCGTCATCGCTTCAATTCGTCAAGTAACTACAGTGTATCGACTGCGACTCGGTTTACCTCCGTTGCCGACATTCGCCATTGAATCCGAGTAAGTACAACAAATTTCAATGCCGCCTACAATATCCCGTGACCCCCTCGAATTTTCAGTAGCGTTTATCGGGTTGTAAAGGGCATCCGTATTAATTTACCCCATTGGAGAAGTTTTAAATTATAAACCTAGTGTGCATTCGAAAGCTGATAATGGCAAAAAGAACTTACCACAGTAAAATATTTGTTTGGTGTTAAAAAAAAAATTGGATCAACTCATTATCAAATTGTTGAACATTAAATTCAATTCAATTAGAATAAAATACATGACCGGCATTCTAATTATTGTTAAGATTTTCGATAAATTAGAACCTAATTTTCCTTTTTGTAATGTATTTTTTTTTTTTTTTTGAGGTCACGCATGCGTAACACCAAATTTAGTAGAATGTCTTTCGATAGGCAACAATTTAATTTCTGTTTATAACATTATAAACGTTTTGGCTTATCCCATTACGGCGAATGCATACAATATAGTTTAATTGGATAAAGCACTTAAATATAAAGTGGCTATTTAATTACCAATTCAACAAAACATTTAAAAACAATATAAACTTTATAATGACAGTTAGCACAAAACCTTTATCAATTACTCGAAAAATGTATTATTTTTTAGAGAAATAACTAATTGACAAAATTTATTTAATAGTTAATCAAAGTAGTTTTTCAATTTCAAAGCGGTAAAAAGGCAGAATAAAACAAAGGTAAATAGACAAAGTAAAAATAATTTAGCAGAGATTTGAATACGAAATGGAATAACATTGGTACGTGATAGAGATAGGTGTGTTGCGGTAATGGGCCTTTTCTCTTTTGAAAATCGAAGAAGAATAAGTCTGAATTTAAATTTGCACTCGTATATCTTCGCGTAGTTCTTATCATATCTATGATAAATGTTTATAAACGACGATATTATTTAAGAATTACAAACATTATACAAACAGTTTATTTAAATTAGACCCAAAACTAAAATTAATGTTAATATTTTACTAGTATAATTATCAAACGGCGTTTTAAGTAGGCAATTTAGCTACTTATGAGAGGCTTCAGTTGGGTTATACTTCGATAGACTTGCTCTTATTACTTCATTCTTATTTGCAATATTACGTTGTATGTTATTATAAACGTCGAATAATATAACGTTTATATTAATTTATACTCGATTATAATCAAAATAACGCCATTTACCATGATTTCATTTTTTTATTTGATATTTTTATACTATTATGACGTAATTCGCTTTATAAAAACGAGATTCATAATTATTAAAAATGAATGGAAGAAATGATATGGTCTATTCAATTCGTAAAATAATATTATCTTAATAAAATATTTTTCTGAATTTTAATCATTTTGATTGTGTACAAAATGCATGTTAAAATTATAAAAAATAATAATATAATGTTGGAAAATATAATACTAGAATCTAGTCAATTGAAAAATATTGCCATGGAAACTGCGATAAATTGTAAAAATAGCTATTGAATAATGTCGCGTTATATTTACGAAGGCAACTCGATTTTCTTTGTATATTATTTGTATGAGACTAAAATGTTACAATTGAAATAACGTTATGTCGTAAAATTCTTTTGTTTTTTTTAGAATAAGTGTGATTTGGTTGCGTTTTTACGTTGCATTTAGTTAGATATCTAACTTAATTATAATTTATGATTATTTTATCAAAATATGAATAGTAAATCACTTTTTCTAGGTTAAATCTAGTATTAAGAAATTTAATGATTAACTTTA